CCTTGCCTCTCTGATGTGTTGAAATGAACCAACAACTTCTTATACTTTCTTTAAAGATTTATTTTATTTATTTATGCATAGAAGAGCTGGGGTGTAGTTCAGAGGTGCGGGGCTGGGAGGGTATGTGAGAGGATTCACCAGAGGCAGAGTGAGAAGCAGAACAGGTAGATCTATTGAAATACACCGTTAAGGGGAACAGCGGGCAGGAGGAGAGGTCTGCTGCGCCATGTGGGTTAGCTCCTTGGCTGGGGATCGAACTCTGGCATCAGCCGGTGATAGCATGATAGTGCTGAGACTTACCCCCGTGCCACCAGGGAGTCCCTGTTATTCTTTCTTTTACCCCATCTTGCAGGTACCAGATAATAAAAGCAGGTACCAGATAACAAAAACGTGTGGCTACTTTGGAAATGGCAGGGAATAGTGTTTAACACAGTTCCTCAAAGTCTCCAGCTCTTTTCCTTTCTAAGCACCTGGTGAGATTAGCACTTCTCTGACCCACATGACATACACAGAAATAATTCTCGTTGACTTCACAGCAGTTATAAAGGTGTGTAAGTCATTGAATTCCTTTCTGCCAGCTGCCCTGACTGTGGAAATGAAACCATCATCTGGTGGCTTGGATCTCTGAGTAGCTAAGAGGAGCAGACACTAAGGACTCACCCTTGAGTTATGGTTAATATACTGAGATTTAGTGGGTGCTTGTTGCTGCAGCATAACTCAGCCTTTCCTGATTGACCTGGATTTTGTTCCAGAGTCTCCTTCTTTGGACTAAATCTATAGCTTCTTTGGCCCGTCTCCTCTCCAAAAAATAAGCAAGATACCAAATACTTAGGCATGCTCAACTCTTCCATGTTGAAAAAGAAAATCTCTCTTGATAGAAGCCTCCCTCTAGCTCTCCTTCATTTCTTTACATAGTCAAGTTTCTTGAAAATAGATTAACCAATGGTCTTCACACTTTTCTACTTGGAAATATTCTAAAAGTTTGTTTTGTACAAAACACACAGTGATTTCCAAAAAAGGGGAGTGGGGTAAGAGAAGTCAGCCCTAGCTATAAAAATGTGTGAATAAAGTCTTCATTTAAGTTGGAAATACTTTAATTGCTTTATCTTCTTGCACTTGTATTTTCATTTCACTTTCTCCATAGAATACAGTTCTATGGTAATTTATTTTCTGCATGAAAGTCTATCATTTTGTAATGATTTTATCACCTTATAATATTTTTCTGTGTGGCTATATTAAAATTAAAAATCTTTTTACTTCTTATAACAAAAAGGCCCTCATTAATTTTTCCTACTGAACTGAATGATCATTACGATTATTACCAATCAAAACAAAACATACATTGCACATTTATATACATAACTATGAAACAAAAGTAAAAATTTTGTTGGGATAATAGCTCTTAATGAGAGGGACTGGTTTCTTTTAAAAATGTATTTATCTGTGATTGAACATTATATTTTTTTCTCCCTAGCATTATTGAGATATATGTTTATGGTATATATTGTAGTCATTTGATACAAATATATAGCTAAATGATTACCAAAATAAGGTTAGTTAACACCTTCAATACCTCACATACTTACCTTTGTGTGTGTGGTAAGAACATTTAAGATCTACTCCCTTAACAACTTTCAAGTATACAATATAGTACATTAACTATTTTAGATCCGGGCCTCCCAGGTCGCGCAGCGGTTCAGCACTGGGCTGCGAAGCTGCCCGCAGCCTCTGCAGTGCCGGTTCGATCCCCAGCCACAGGGTGAGGGTTCCACATGGCGCGCAGACCTCTCCTGCCGCCCGCTGCTGCCCTCAGCAGCGTATACTCTTATTCCTGAATATATTTTTTTCTAGATTTCTGACTTAAGGATTTTTTTCTTTCCAGCACTTTAAAGATGTCTTTTAACTTCCTTGTGGTCTCCATTGTTTCTGACAAGAAACGGTATTTCCTTGTATATAGTGTATCATTTTTCTCTAGCTGTTTTCAAGATCTTTATTTGACAGATTGGTGAGAATGTGCTGGGCTGTGGTTTTCTTTGTATTTATCCCACTTAAAGTTTACTGGACTTCTTGAGTCTCTACATGTTTTTCACCAAACTTAAAAACATTTTAATCCATTTATTTTCAATGTTTTTTCTGCCCTAATATCTCCTGTTATTTGGGACTCCACTTATATGGAATTACAGCTTTTGATATTGTCCCACAGGTCACTGAGGTGTTCTTTTCACTTGTTCAATCTTCCCCCTCCTTTTTTCAGATCACATCATTTCTATTGCCCTATCTTCAAGTTGTTGAGCTGAAATTTTTTCACATACTATATTTTCAGTTCTAGATTTCCTCTTGGTTCTTATTTTAATAATTTCCCTTTTTCTGTCCAATATTCATATCCATTTATTCACTGTGATCATAATCTTTACTTACTGAGCATAATTAAAATTCCTGCTTACTAAAAAAAAATAAAAAATAAAAAATAAAATTCCTGCTTACTAATTCTAGTATCTGGGACATCTTAGAATAAATCTCTGTTGATTGATTTTCCTCTTACATATGATACATATTTCCTCCTTTCTTTCCATGTCTACGAATTTTGGATTATATCTTGATATTGTGGAAGCTCTGGATTCTGTCTTGTTCCTCCAAAGGTGAGGTAGATTGTGTGGAGAACTCAGGGTTTCCCTTTTGTGTGCCTCTAATCCTCCCTTGCTTTCCAGATGCTACCATTATCCTAAACTCTGCCCTCTATTTTTCGCTCAGTAAAACCGAAGGTTTCCATCAGACTTTTAGTGAAACTCATAGAAACTCACTTATGCCATTCCTTGCTTCCTAGTGCCAGCTCCTCTCCAGTTTCTGACTGCTGTGAATTAGAAGTCTTTAGATGATTGTGTGGTATAGTCCATACAGAGCTCTGAGTGTTATTTGTGTAATGGTCGATCTATTTGGAGATACTCCAAACTATTGGAAGCAGAACCTCCTCCAGTATAACCTGTTCTTTCTTACTACTTCTCCCAACAATCTGTACTCTAGCCATACTCAAATATTGAAGTTTCCAGAACAGGCCATATTCTTTCTTGTCTCTGGTATACTTCTTTTCCTTTTTCTGCTTTCCCATACCCCACTCCAAGTAGCTTCTGCTTTATTCTTCAGTATTCAGCATAGGTATCCCTCTTGTAGAATTTTATTAGTCAGGACTGATTCAGGTTACAGAAACTTCCTTTGCTGACAAGTCAAAAAGTGAGGGGCCTCCCTGGTGGCGCTTAAGATGCAACCTATGAAGCTATCCGTAGCCACTGCAGCACAAGTTCAATCCCCAGCCACGGAGATACCCACATGGTGCAGCAGACCTCTCCTGACTTGCCCGCTGCTCCCCACAGCAGTGCATTTCAGTCAATCTGCCTGTTCTGTTCCCCCCCCCTCTGTCTCTGGTGAATCCTCTCACCTGCCACACCTCTGGCCTATGCCCCAGGTCTTGTATTCAAAATATAAATAAAATCTTTTTTTTAAAAAAAGGGAGGGGGATTTAGTGTAAGAGTACAGAGATTACCTCAAACCCCAAAACAGCAATCCAGTGAGGCCTCAGGAACCAACTAAAACCGGACACTGCATTTCACTGGGACTTTATCTCCATTTCTGGTGTCTGCTCTCTGCCCATCTGAGGGACTCCTACTCTTAAAATTCCAGTTTCCTCCTAAAGGTAGCTTTGTTAGTGCCCATTTATTTCTCTTTCTTCCCTCTATATCTTAAATTCCTTAAGAGTGGAACTATTACTTTATTGACTTTCTTGTTCCCTGAACTGGGCAGAGTACAACACAGTTTCACAGGAGGTTAAGAAAAAAAGGCAGGGCCTCCCTGGTAGCACAGGGGTTAAAGTCTCAGAGCTATCAAGCTATTGCCAGCCACTGTGACATGAGTTCAATCCCCAGCCAGAGAGCTAACCCATATGGCGCAGCAGACCTCTCCTGTCTTGGCATGCTGTGCCCCTCAGCAGTATATTTCAGTAGATCCACTTGTTCTGTCCCCACTCTGTCTCTGGTGAATTATCTCACCCCCCTGCACCTCTGGCCTACACTCCAGTTTTTGTATGCATAAACAAATAACAATAAATCCTTTTTTTTAAAAAGGCAAACAAACTCACCATTATTATACAACTCAGCAAGTGTTGCAACATGTATTTGCAAGATGGTTTAGGAGCCGGAGGAGGAAGCAGCCATACCTCCACCTGGACATCAGGAAAGATGCCCAGTGATGTTCTCTGATTAGGGGTCAAAAAGAAAATCCCATAAAAAGCAAAGAATCTCTTAAAGACCCTCCCTATCCGTTGGGTCTTCGCAGAAATGAAGAATGAACACTTATGGTCTTTTCCCAAATCACTCCAAGAGACAAAGAATCATATAGTAGAGACCTTTTTCTAACATTTCAGCCACTGGGGAATTTTTGCAGTTCCTCTTTCCCATGTAGAGACCTCTGAACTTTTCTCCCCTCAGCATAGTGTTCCCTTCACTTCTCCAGCTAACCTCTCAACAGTTTTAAGGTTTTCATATCAAGGTCTCTTTCTGGAGAGGAAGGAAGTTTCCCTCTGGCCCTTCGTTAGTGAACCCTATTGCCACACACTTCCCAGCAGCCTGCACTTCCCCTTTGTGAATGTTGCCCCCGGCCCCCCCCCCCCCCCCCCCCCCCCGTACCTGCCTATTCCCGGGGCTTGGCACACAGCCTTGCACCTGGGATGTGCTCAAAAAAGGTCTCTTCCATTGACTTTCAATAGTTAGTCCACTTCTTCATCTGAGGGAAGAAAACCAAGGTACAGAGATGGGGAAGCAGGTTCTCCAACAGTTAGTGGCAGGGCCAGTGAGGTGATAGCAGCTGAATCTTAACCCCTCGGCCACCAGAGAGGGCCGCTTGGCACTGGATGGGTCTCTGCCTTGGGTTCAGTGGAGTGGTCTCCTCAGCTTGTTTCTCTCCTTCCAGGGATAGTGATGATCAATGCAGACATTGCTTTTTTTGGATCATCTAGGTGTTTATTTCTTCTAAAATGTGCACAAAGATATAAAATCCTGGGGACATTTTTAATACATTTAGAAAAATGACATGAGGAATGAAAATGAATGTTTAAAAAAATTTTTTTCCTCCAATTTTTAAATTTAAACACTTGTAAATTTATAGGAAATTTGCGTGAATAGCACAAGACCCATCTCTACTTCATGTACATTCATTGGTTGCTAACATGCTGCAAACAATGCACGTGTGTACACATACACAGACACACTTCCTGTCTTCCCATGTATATCTATACACTCACAAACACTTTATAATATGTATATACATTCTATACATATATATGTACACATACACTTATTTTTGATGAACCAGTTAAGAGTCCATAGTCAATGTTACATTTTAGCTCTAAGCACTTCAGCGGGGATCTAAGAATGGCACACTCCTATGCAAATACAACACCATTATCATAACCTTACTATACTCTTAGCTAAGATACACCCACATTCAAACTTCCCCAGCTATCTCAGGCGTGCCCTTTATAGTTGGCTTTTTGTTCTTTAAACCCCAAATCCAATCAAGAGTCATGAGTTGCATTTGGTCACCAAGTCCCTTTGATCTATAGCAGTTTCCAAACTACTTTATCTTTCATGATATTGACATTTTTTGAAGAGTCCATGCCAGTTGTTTAGCAGGATGTTCCTAATGTGGATTTTTATGATTACTTCCTCATGGCTAGATTCAGATTAAACTTTTCGGGCAAGTATGTCACTTGTGTGATGCTGTGAGTGCCTTTCATTGCGATACCTTCACTTCAGTGGTCCTGGGCGTTGAGGTCAGATCTCCAGAACTCCAGGGCCGTGGAGAGGCCCAAGGAGCTGGCTGGCCAAGGCCAGGCTTCAGTCTTGGCAGAGTTCACTGCCAGCGAAGCTGCTGACTGCAGGACTCCTGCTGGGCAGCAGGGTCAAAGTGAGAACTTCTTATTCCCACCAGGAGAGGTGGCCAGTGGCCAATGGGTCACCTGCTGCCTTTGTCACTCTCTGTTGATGCAGCTGCAAAGGGAAGGAGAAGAGGGCTGAGGGGCGGCTGCACCAACACAACCCTACTGGAGGGAGGGATAGCAAGGGGCAGGGGCACAAAGTCAGGGGGAGCCAGAATGAAAAACAGACTGAAAGGATGAGAGGCAGAGGGGACACACACCAGGGAAGTAGAGAAAAGTGGAAAGAGAAACAGAGACTCAGACACCGGCCACAGAGAAAAGAAATCACGGCTGATGCACTTCCCTAACAACTTCCTGGTCCTTGGCTCTGGGGCTTGGGAAAGTATATTTATCCGGGTCAGACTTAAAGGGCACAAGGGTTTCTCCCAAGGGGTCCTGAGGTCACCTGTCCAGGCTGTACTTTTCCAAACAGAGAACTTCTCCTTTTGCCCAAGAAGCCAGGCCTGTGCCACAAGTTTCTGCTCTGACTCAAAGTGTTTCTCTTTTTTCCATGGGGCTGTGGGCAGATAGGGAAGCCTGCTTTTGACACATCTGGGGCAAAAATGGAGGAGCAGGAAAGAGGCAGAGGGAGGACTCAGATGGGGAAAGAGTACTAAAAATAGCCTTCCCTCTGTGGGTGAAGAGGAATGCAAAATCCCAGGAGCTGCCCAGCGGGTGCAACCTTAGCTAATAATAACAGGCCATGGTTTTCTCATGAGAAAAGGGACTGGAGATGGGTGGTGTGGAGGGGGGTTGGAGGGAGAGAGAGGGCTTCTTGGGATCTAACAAAGGTTAGACTGCAGGGCTAGACTCCTCCAGATATTAATGGGGGGTAAGGTGGGGGAATTGGGGGGGTATTTTGCCCATTAGAGGAACTTAGCCTGGACAGAAGGGGTTTTCTGGCAATAATGTGCACCGTCTGTACTTTCGTTTGGCAGGAAGAGAAGAAAACAGAAAGAGCGCAGTCAGGAGCCATGACCTCAGTTTCAGGCCTGTCGGCATCACAGCTGAAGCCAAGTCAAGAAGCCCCTTTCTGCCTCCTTTGGCCAAAAAATCAAGCCCCAGCCCCCGCTCCTTACTGAGGAGGTTGAGGGGCGTCAAGGGGCGTGAGAGGACATCTCGGAAACTCTCCAGCCATTCTCGCTGCTCCTTCTCGCTGGGACAGGTGAGGACGAATCTCCGCTGGGGTGTGACAATGGTGAGGCCAGATTTCCAGCGGTTCCCTCGGATGCCTTTGGGCAGGTCTTCATATACCTCGTACCCCTGCTCCTTGCTCCCAAGAAAAACCTGGCCCTGCTCAAAGGCATCCTGAAAATAGAGGACACATGTCATCAGAGGTCACACCTGAGGCAGAGGGGCACCCCAGAGCTTTCAAGCTCTACTTTAGAAAGAGGGGTGTGGGTGTGTATGTGTCTCTGCTGGGGATTTCTGCAGGTGGACCCAGAATTTGAAAGGCTAAAATGGCAAATAAATCACATACATTATCTGTTAAAATGATACTTAACATTTGTGGAGAGCTTATTATGCAGTGGGAATTCAAATGCTTTATAAGCAGTAACTCATTAGGGCTGCAGCTGAGGAAAGCGCTCTTACTAAGCCTATTTTCTGGAGAAGGAAACTGAGGCACAGAGAGCTAAATACTCTGCCCAGGGCAGAAACCTGAACCTGGACAGCCACGTTCCTAACCATGAGGCTGCAGAGCCTCCTGATTAGAAGTGAGCCCTGGAAAGTGGAGGATAAGAATCAATGAATGTGTTGGCATTTTGGATACACATGAAGACTTGTGAAGGTGAGGGCTCTCCCTCACCTTCTCCTGTCACTTCTAGCTCAGGAGATGACGGAGACAAGCAAAGGTGGAGGTGTGTCTATCACCAGGTGAATCCAGTTCTGTAGTTTCCCTATAGTCCCTAAGCAGCAATGACCACCTCTTTATCTGGGGGTGCTCTGGGGAGGGGCTACAGTGGCTCTTACCAGTGGGTGCTTGTAATAGAACAGCCTCCGCTCCTGGGGATCCAGGGCAAACCACCTTTTCTTGAAGGGTTCTCTTTGCTGCAAAAGAGGAAACCTTTGCCAGCATTGCCAAGCAGGAGGAACTGAGGTCAAAGGGCAAGCCCAGTTAGGAGAAAGGTGGTGACTGGTCCCACCAGTGCTCCATCCTGCCCCCGGGCTCTGTAGTCAGACACAACAGCACATTTCCTGGGCCTCTGCTCACCTGCTCACCCACTGCCAGCCTCACAGAGCTGCCTGCGGGTGCTGCCTTGGTTGGAAGAGGTTATTTCCTCTTAGGTTGTGGATGAGAAGTCTCAGAAGAAAAGGAAATTGTGGGAATAAAAAGTGGCTACTGCTCAGCAATGCTGACAGTGCTGGCCCAGGCCAAATTCTGACCCAGGTCAGGGGAAAGTAGGCCCCAGGAGCAGGAGCCATGGGGAACACTGTTCATTGCTGGGGGGTGGGGAGGGGTAGGAAGAAACATGATGGTGCATGCCTGAGACTTCTTTCACACAGATACCACTGTTCTGTCAATAGTATACTTAAAATTCTCTCTCTCTCTCTCTCTCTCTCTCTCACACACACACACACACACACACACACACACACACACACACACAGGCTCCCCTAGCTTTTCCCTCCCTTTCCCTTTCTCCTCCCTTTTCCCTTCCTTCCCTCAAAATCAGGACCCTCTCCAGTCAGACATCTGCCTCTGAGCCTCATCCCATTCTGCACCAGGCTGGGTCTGAGATCTCTTGGGGCAGCTGAAGCCTCCACTCTTCTGGAACCTTCCTGGAGGCACACAAACATCCAGGCTTCCTCTCTCTGTCCCACATGGGACTGAGCAACTACTGGGTGATTTGGGCAGGTTTAGCAAAACAAGCAGAGGCTCAGTCTGAGGGAGGAAGTGTGTGCTGGGAAGGCGCCTGCCCACATGAGCTGTCCAGCACCACGCTTAGGTATGTAGGGGTGTTTTCTCAGAGCTTAGCCCCTTTCTCACATGGGAGGGCCTGGTAAGCCCCCAGCACAGAGCATACAGGGATTCAGAAAGTGCAGAGGTTGTTCCTCAAAAGCCCTTTTGCAGGGGCCTCCCTGGTGGCACAAGGGGTTAAGTACTGCACTATGAAGCAATCCGAAGCCTCTGTAGCACAAGTTCGATCCCCAGCCAACTAGGGAGCTAACCCACATGGCGCAGCAGACCTCTCCTGTCTGCCCCACTGCTCCCCTCAGCAGTGTGTTTCAGTCAGTCTGCCTGCTCTGTTACCCACTCTGTCTCTGGTGAATCCTCTCACTACCCTCCCACATCCATCTCTGGCCTGTACCCCAGCTCTTATGTGCATAAATAAATAAATCTTTTTTTTTTTTTTTAAAAAAAAAAGCCCCTTTGCAGTGGTGCTTTCCCAGCAGGAGGGTAAGATACATTAGGAGGAAAGAAACTGAGGAGGATGCAAACAGGGAGGATGCTGGTGACAGCGAGCAGCAGTGCTGGATCTCATAGCAGCTAACAGCTTTCCCAAGTCCTTCAACCCAGGAACTCACCAACATTGGTTTACTTCTCTTTCCTCCCTGTGGTTCCCCATTTCCCCAGCTCCCCCTGGGATAGGGGCTCTATAAGTAGGGGGGGAGTGTAGGGCAGGTAGAATGTACCTTTGGACCAGTCTTTTCCATGAAGCCTTGTTTGAGGTAGTTCCTGGTGATAAGAGGCACGAGCTGGAGGAAGAGAGACATAAAATGACCCCCAGGCTCACACTCCAGGGGTTCAAGGGTCCCCCAAGGAACTTGGTTCTTCAACAAAGGGGAAGTTTGGAATGGGGAAGGATGTGCACTTGTGATTCACTGGGTTATATTTGGAAGTTGATATGGATGCAATTTAATATTTCAACAGTCAGATGCCAGCACCCCAGATGTTTGCAGGGCTGACCAGTGAGACCAAGTCCTGGTTAAGAACTTAGTTCCAAAATTCCTTCAGTAGTCCCTGCAAGTGGACACCAGCAAGGCTCTGAGGAGCCCCTCCTAGTGTCGGGGCCCAGTCTGAGGAATTGCTATGAGTCAGGCCCTGGGGGAAAATCTCAACTATCTTGTGAGGTAGATATTAAGACTCTCAGCGTAGAGCTTCCCTGGTGGCGCAAGGGGTTACCAGGGAGGTGACCCACATGGTGCAGCAGACCTCTCCTGTTTCATCTGCTGCTCCCCTCAGCAGTGTATTTCAGTCAGTCTGACTGTTCTGCTCCCCACTCTGTCTTTGGTGAATCCTTTCACCCCTTCCCCCGCATCTCTGGCTTATACCCCAGTTCTTGTATGCATAAATAAATAAATTTTTTTTTCAAAAAGGGTGCTCCTATCATTAAGACATGATGCTAAAGTATAAACATGCCAGAGCCCTCTGATCAGACCAAGAGCTGGGTCATTGAGGGGATTCTGACACATGGTCACAGGAGGTAATGGCAAAGTAGGCAAAAAGAGAAAGTTCTGGACTAGGAGTTGGGAGACCTACCTCTAGTTCTGACCTCAACCAGTAGTATTACCTTGGTAAGACCCTATGTCTCTTTGAGGATGTTTCCCTTTGTGTAATAAGGAGTTTGCAATACATGATCCCCAGGATTCCTTCCAGCTTGCCATCCTACACTCACAGAAGCTTCTCGATATTGGTGTTGGCATCCTAAACTCCAGCGGGTCACCCGGCAAGTCTAGAGTTTCAAATGACAGCCCAGGCTTCCAAAATCAGAAGCTTCAATTCTTTCATTTGGAGAAAAGACAGAGTCCTGAACTACTCAGATGTCTGAACTTGAGCCAGGGCAAGGCTAGTCCAGGCCAAGGGAAAACACTGGAAGAAGGAAAATCAAGGGGTGGAGTAGATTCCCTACTGTACCTTAGATGCCTTGGCTCACTGGATTCTCACAACAGCCCTGGAAGGTGACAGATGAGTCAACTAAGGCTCAGAGAGGTGAGGTGACTTGCTCTAGGTGACACATCAGCTTCTCTGACCATACCATTTCTTATGACAGGATCACAACCCCACTGGAGCTCCCCAGTTTCCAGCTTCTGGATCCCTAAGCTTGAGCCTGGGTAATTGCCCAGAACCTTATGCTATGCATAGACTTGGGGTAGGAAAGACAGAGGAGAGAGCCAGATGGGGAGGAGGTTGGGGTAGACTGGGGGTTATTGTGGTGAGGGAGGGAGGCAAGTGGACATTGAGGATGTTGGTTAAAGATCAATTTCCTCAGCAAAGTTGGAGAATGACTGAGATAAACAAGGCGGAGCATCTGCACTTTGTCCTCCCTCCTCCATGCAATAGTCAGCACTCTCAGCGCCCCACCCACCCTTTCATCAGCTCTGGGTGCTGACTCTGCAGACCTAGGCTTGGCTGGAACTGCTCCCAGAAAGTGGCCATCTCAGTGCATTGCTGGGACCCGCACATTCCAGACACTTCGTGTTCTGCAAACCTTGGAATGAAGAACTATTTTTTCATTCAAGGAAGACCTAACAATTTGGAGTAAGAAAGTTCCAGGATTATCATGATCTCCAATCCCATCACCCATAGAATTATCTAAAACAGGGACAAGACCATGGCACCTCAGAGCTGGAGGGGACCCTAAGGGTGACCCAGACCAACTGCTATTTTACAGTTGTGGAAACAGATGCTCAGAGAGGTGACCTGCAGTGGTCACACAGCAAGTTAGTGACAGAGAGTCATAAGACCCAGACCTCCTGGCTCCAGGCAGCATCCTGTCCCATGCTATGCAGCTTCCCCAGAAGAGTCTGAGAGATTTGGTGCATGACCCAGAAGTCTGAGGACAACAAAAAGGAAGCCCTCAGGCCACCAAAAGCAGGTGTTCCTGTTAGAACTGCCACGGGGGAGACCCCACAGGCTGTCTGGGCTCGGAACATGAGAAGGCAAAGGGGGATGTTAGCATGGGAAGAGCACTTTTGCTTATTCACTTGACCTTCCTAGGATTCGGCCTCTCATCAGTAAAATGGGAATAATCACTCTCACCTAACAGTCTGATAAAGGGGTTGCTAGATAAAAGGGCTACAAGAAAAATGGGCTCAAAAGCACGTCATAAGCAATATGTTAGAATCATCTGCACATTTAGTGGGAAAAGCAGTCAGAAACAGATGCCCAAATCCTGAGCTCCTTGACTGGGGGTGGTAACAGCGCACCCACAAGGGGGACAGCCTGACCTGCTTTTTGGAGGCCCCCTTGCCATTTGTGAGACCATCATCCCCCAGAACCTCCAGGAGGAAGCCTTTGTTTTCCCTCAGAAGTATCCAACCCCAAGTCTCAGGTTTTGCCTGCCAACAAATTAGTCTGGCTCCTATCTTTGAGATCAGCAGACAAGAAAAGAAGGACGTGGCAGAGAGACTCGGATGTTAGGGTCCACGTTTAGCTCACCTCAGACTCTGGGAGCTCAGGAAAGGCAGCTTTCAGGTATTGCAGACGGGCTGCGCGGAGGGCATTGAACCAGTCCACTATCTCCTGCAGAGAAGGGTGTGAAGGACAGGGGGTGAGATGAAGTAGGGAGGAGCTGAGTGTGATGGCAGGAAGATAGCTGGATCTTCAGGTTTGGGCACATGCACTCAGCATATGCACGTGCCCCACTTCTGCTCAATATCTTGTTAAAATGCAAATTTGAATTCAGTGGTTTGCATGGGGCCTAAGCATCCACAATCCTAACAAGCTCTCTGGTGATGCAATGCTGCCAGTTGGTGGGGCACACTTTGGAGAGCAAGAGTTCTCAGTGGTCAAAGACCAGTTTTCGGTTAGGGGTAGGTGCATCCGGGATGCTCATCACCTGGAGTGTAACTTGGGCTAAAGCTGCAGTCTGTATGGAGAAGGCATCCCTCAGCTGTGTGGGCCACCATCACGTCCCAGCTGGTGAACCACTTATCTGGCTGGTGTTTCCCCTGCCCCATGGCAGCCAGTGTGATTTATTCATTGCAAATCTAGCTGAGTCTAGCCCTCTCTACTGCCCTCAGGGAAAAAGGTAAAATTCTTTTTTTTTTTTTTAAGATTTATTTATTTATGCATATAAGAGCTGGGGTACAGGCCAGAGATGTGGGGGGCGAGAGGATTCACCAGAGACAGAGTGGGGAACAGACAGGAGGAACAACTGAAATACACTGCTGAGGGGAGCAGCAGGAGAGACAGGAGAGGTCTGCTGCACCATATGGGTAGCTGCCTGGCTGGGGATCGAACTCATGCTGCAGTGGCTGCGAATCGCTTCATAGGTTGCTTCTTAGTCCCTTGCGCCACCAGGGAGGTCCTGCTTTAGTCTGACTTACTTTGCCCTCTGAACTCTTTCCATACAAAACCATGTGCAATTTCCCCAATACAAGCTGTTCCTCCTCCTGGAACATTCTGCCTTATCCACCTCTCTTTCCTCAGCCCATGCATACGATTTACTTAGAACATTCTACTCATCCTAAATGTTAGTGTTCATGAAATAGATTTTGGGGGGCTCAACCCAAGACTGTTTCTATGAGAATGGCCCCACCCATGCTCACCATCCCACTCTCCACCCACAGTTGCAATTACATCTACAGCACTGATCCAGCCTCATCTTGGCCACAGCAACTGGATCAGGGTTGAATCGATAAAGAGGCTGGGCTGGCCTTATCAGATTCTTTCTCCCAGGAATTTGGAATTGGGGAGATAAAAGACTTGTTCAAATAGCTGCAGTGTTGCTCTTTGATGTAACAGGGTGATTGAAAAATTCATTTGAATATGGTTTCAAAGAGAACAATGACGCACAACTCCCTCTCTTTCACAGGTCACACACTCAGGTCTAGTCTGAGTTTTGAGCTCTCTTGTCCCAGGAGTTAAGAACCCTGTGGGGTCTCAGGCACTAAGGGAATAGGACCATCCTGGCAAAGACCAAACCAGGCCTTCACTTTGGAAGGTCTCTCCAGTCACAAACTGATGAACCAAATCCAACCTGCATCCATGTTTGTTTGGCTTCTGAAGTTTGGTTTGTTTCAACCCGCTACACAGGCTTTCCTGTTTACCACAGCCTTAGCTGGTCCCTTTAGAATGACCTGCCTGGCTCCGTAAGATGTGTTTACAGCTCCCATTTATGCCTATCTAATGGCGGAGCTGGGGCATCCAAGAAAAACAAGAATGGCCAGACTCAGGTTGCCAGATGCTTTACAATTGGGCAGTGGAAGGAGCCAGGTTGGGTAAGTGTCAGAGACCACGGGCATCTCAGCAGTGATTGGCATGGAAGAGCGCTCACTGCCAGGATTGGCCTGGGGCAACAGCAGAGAGCACACCAAGGACTGAGAACAAGGGGTCTCCTCTAAGTCTCCTGGATTACATAAGTCCCAAGATTCTGGTCAGGCCAAGAGGGAGCTAAGAAAAATAACCTATATTAGATTCTATTTCTTGCCAAATTTGGGACTGGGGTCTTTAGATTTAGAGAAGTGCATCATTTACTTGAACCCCTGGTGTTACAGAGCAATGTGTTCCTATTAGAAAGAGAAAAGCTCTCTCTCTCCACCCCCAGCACCACAACACCATGCACAGTTCCTGATTCTATGACCCAGATATACTTCTTGCCCTTAAAATAAATACCCCTGCATATTTCTCATTTGGTTCCCTTTAAGACTTCTTAAATACCCTCTTTTTCAGTATATTCACTTAATTCTTAAAAAGAAACTCCTGGAAAGCCTTCTTTTGACCATCCCCTCTGCACCCACAGAGTAGGCCACTTACCGGTGTGGCCTAGTCTGTGTGTCCCCGGCTTGGACTCCACCCCATCACACAGCACCATCGGTGCCTATTTCCGCATTGGTCTCCCTCTTCAGAGTTTGAGACCCCTGAGACCTATCCATGGCTCTGCTCTGTTCAATCTACACTCCCCCAAACCCAGCACAGTACTTTGTACATAGCAGGGGCTCAATCAGGATTAAATGACAGAGTGAATTTGTGAATGAATAATGATACAGGTGTAAAATTGCCCACAAGATTTCACCTTTTACAGTCATGAGTCTATAACAATTATATCAACCAAACTTTGCAGTGTATTTCATGATATTGAAATGTCTTCATAATCATGGATCAGGGTCACTTAACCCTCAAAATCTCTCTGGGAGATGGGTATTATAACCAATAAACAAGAAGACTTGGCAAGGGACGGGGTCAGAGCCAGGACTCCAGCTTCTGACTCAACCCACTGCTATTGCGTCCACCACCAGGAACTCTACTCAGACAATGAAGTCTGCTGGGAAGGTGATCCATCGCAGGACTGGGGGCCCTTGAGATCATCTCTGTTTCTGGTTCCTGGCTCCTGCTGCCAAAGATTCTCCCTCTAGCAGAGCACGCAGGGCAGTGATACCCTGTGCAGGGCTCAGGAATGTCAACTATATGACCATGAGCAAGTGACTTTACAAATCCATGCCCTAATAACATGGGGACAAGACATTTTTAGGGTTGTGTTGAAGATTCAGAAATGATGGATAGGGTGCATCAAGAACATTACCCAGCATAGAATTAACAGATGCTCGCAAAATATCAGCCCTGGGGCCTCCCTGGTGGCGCAAGGGTTAAGACCAAACCTATGAAGCTATCTGCAGCCACTGCAGCATGAGTTCGATTCCCAACCAGTCAGGGAGCAACCCACATGGCGTAGCAGACCTCTCTTGACTCGCCCGCTGCTCCCCTCAGCAGTGTACTTTGGTCAATCTGCCTGTTCTGTTCCCCACTCCGTCTCTGGTGAATCCTCTCACCCTGCACCACACCTCTGGCCTGTACCCCAGCTCTTGGATGCATAAATAAATAAATCTTTAAAAAAATATATCGGCCCCATCTTTCTCCTCTCCACCTCCACTTAGTGTCTCTGTTCCTTGCCCAGTCATGTGACCCTCCTCATTCTGACAAAACTTATTCTCTTAGACCTGTATTACTGGCCTGCTCTTCTCTGACGGGCTTGATTTCCTTCCTAGAACTTTAAGTAGTGCTTCTCAAACTTAAAGCTGCATAAAGATCCCTGGTGGCATAATGGGTTAATTCTTAGCACTATGAAGCTATTAGCAGCCTCTGCAGCCTGAGTTTGATCCCTGAGCTGACCCACATGGTTCCAGCAGACCTCTCCTATCATGCCTGCTGTTCCCCTCAGCAGAGTATTTCAGTCAGTCTGCCTGTTCTGCTCCCCACTCTGTCTCTGATGAATCCTCTCACCACCCCCCAACACCCTTGGCCTACACCCCAACTCTTGTATGCATAAATTTAAAAAAAAAGATCCCTGGGGGATCCTATTAAAATGCAGTTTCTGGGCCTCCCCTGGTGGCGCAGTGGTTGAGCACTGGGCTGCAAAGCTGCCTGCAGCCTCTGTAGCACCTGTTCGATCCCAGGCCACCAGCGAGGGTCCCACATGGCGCGCAGACCTCTCCTGCTGCCCGCTGCTCCCCTCAGCAGTGTACTTTGTCAGTCTGTCTGTTCTGTTCCCCACTCTGGCTCTGGTGAATTCTTTCACCCTCCTGTGCTTCTGACTGTACCCAGTGCTTTTATAAATAAATAAATCTTTAAAAATAAAATAAAATAAAATGCAGTTTCTAATTCAGTAGGTACAGGGTGGGCCTGAGACACTAGTTCCAATAAGTTCCCAGGTGGTGCCAATGCTGCTGGGCCAGGACCATATGCTGAGAAGCAAGGTCCCTGCTGCCTGGTCTTCCATCCACTCCTCCTCCCATACTCAGAGTCTCCAGCCCCATCTGGATTTGCCATTGCTGGGCATAGTCCCTTCGACTCACTGGCCTCCCCTTGGTGGCTATGCACTGTGCAGATACACACATGGTCCCTGCCAGTTTCCTCTCGTTCATCTCACTCTGCTTTCCTCATAATTCTGTCTCAGACCTAGAAGTGAGTGATGATAGATAAGGTAAATAGCCACAACAAGTCTCAAGAGGCAGCTAAACAAGGAAGTTGATGAGCTGAGTTTGCCAGGGCCAGGGGTGCTGCGGGCAGGCTGGTGCGGCAAGACCAGTCTCTCACCTTTCCATTTTCATGAAACACAAACAGGTTTCTGATGTGACCCTCTCTCCTGTAGGTGATCTGCAGACCGTGGGGGTTCCCAATCTTCTCCGTCTGGAAGGTGGCATTCAAGTCCTTGATGTTGATGACCGCTTTGGGCCCTTTGCCCTAGAAGAGCAAGCAGATACTCAAGAGGCTGACAGTAGAGTGATTTCTTATCAACCTTAATGCAAACAAATAACTAATTTGTAACTTTGCATGGGCATTCAGCGTTCTTGCTCTAATATTAAGACACAGATATTGGTCTCCCTGGTGGCACAAGGGGTTAAGACGCAACTTACGAAGTTCTCCGCAGCCACTGCAGCATGAGTTTGATCCCCACATGGCGCAGCAGACCTCTCCTGTCTCTCCCACTGCTCCCCTCAGCAGTGTATTTCAATCAGTCTGCCTGTTCTGTTCCCCGCTCTGTCTCTGGTGAATCCTCTTACCCCCACACCAACACCTCTCACCCCCACACCGACACTTCTGTACCCCAGTTCTTGTATGCATAATAAATAAATCTTAAAAAATAAATAAAACACAGATATTCTCTGTTCTGTATTCAGCCATCCCACCATGCCTGCATAATCAGATTAGCTTTTTGTGAGTTGAAAAGGGGACTTAAGACTTTTCAAAGTTTTTATTCATAGAATTTCTTCTGAAGCAAATCATCCATGGAAGCCAAACAAAATAAGACCCATAAAACAGTTAATAGCAGATATGGGGGTTTTGGAGCACTGCTTCCCACACTGATTCCCTGTTCTCTAGATTCTGAAACACAATTCAGGCACTAAATGATGCTAAGAAGGGAAGGGAAAAGAAATGCTTTATTTTACCATCAATAAGGTCGAAGAATGATGAAAACTCTTCAGACCTGTGGTAGCCATTAACCACATGTGACTATTAAAATGAAATTAAATTAAAGCTTCAGTTCCTGGGCCTCCCCGGTGGCGCAGTAGGTTGAGTGTAGCACTGTGAAACTGTCTGTGCAGCCTTTGCAGTGCAGGTTCAATTCCCGGCCGGCCAGGGAGCTACCCACATGGAGCAACAGATCTCTCCTATCTTGCCTGCTGCTCCCCTCAGCAGTGTATTCAGCGTGTCTGCCTGTTCTGCTCCCTGTTCTGTCTCTGGTGAATCCTCTCGCCCTCCCGCGCCTCTGGCCTGTACCCCAGTTCTTGTATAAATAAATTTAAAAAATTAAAAAAAAACCCAAAACTTCAGTTCCTTAGTCACACTTAGCTCCATTTCAAGTGCTCAGGAAAAACTTCTGGGCAGTGGCCAGGGTATTGGAGAGGGCAGACAGAGAAAATTCCCATCACTGAAGAAAGTTCTATTGGGCTATCTTCTCTAAAGGGAACTTAGATCATATTTGTAAAATTGTTCTGTGTTTTTGCTTTTACCCACAAATTAGCATCTAAGAATCTATCCCAAGGAAGTAACTGAGTTACCATGCAAACATGTATGTCAAAAGACATTTACTGTCATGCTGTTTATAGTTGTTTGAAAAAAGGGAGAAACTCTTTAAACTCCATTTAGAGTTTAAATAAATAAATACATCTAAATAAATAAATAAATAAATCATGATACATCCACATAATAAAATATCACAGAATTTTTAAAAGGATAATTCAGATTAATACAACTAATATGGGAAAATGTCCATGAGTGAGAATTACAAAGCTGCAGAACTAGATGTATAGTAGGAATCTATTATATATAAATTATATAGATATATTTATATCTGCATCTATACACCTTATATATATATTTATGTATATATGTGAATACATACATGTGAACATGCATAAAAGTATAGATAATATTACACCAACAATCTTTATGCTTTTTTTGGGTGGAAGATTACTAGAAGACTTTTTTTTTCAAGATTTATTTATTTATTTATTTATTTATTTATTTATTTATTTATTTATTTATACAAGCACTGGGTACAGTCAGAAGCGCTGGAGGGTGAGAGAATTCACCAGAGACAGAGCGGGGAACAGAACAGGCAGACTGATGAAATACACTGCTGAGGGGAGCAGTGGGTGTGGCGGGAGAGGTCTGTCCTGGCATGTGGGACCCTGGCCTGTGGCCAGGGATCTAACCTGTGCTGCAGAGGCTGCGGGCAGCCTCACAGTCTAGCACTCAACTGCTGTGCCACCAGGGGAGGGCCTAGAAGACTTTCTTTTTAAGAATTTAACATAAGGGGGCCTCCCTGGTGGCGCAAGGGATTAAGCACAGCACTGTGAAGTTATCCACAGCCACTGCAGCACAAATTTGATCCCCGGCCAGGGAGCTGACCCACATGGCACAGCAGACCTCTCCTGTCTCCCCTGCTGCACCCTTCAGCAGTGTATTTCAGTTAGTCTGCCTGTTCAGTTTCCCACTCTGTCTCTGGTGAATCCTCTCACCTGCCCCCCACCTCTGGTTTGTACCCCAGTTCTTGTATGCATAAATAAATAAATCTTTAAAAAAAAAAAAGAATTTAACATAAGGGGCCTCCCTGGTGGCTCAGGGGTTAAAGTCTCAGTGCTATCGGGCCTCCCCGGTGGCGCAGCCCTTGAGCGCTGGGTTGCGAAGCTGCCGGCAGCCTCTGCAGCACCGGTTCGATCCATGGCTGCTCCCGGGCCACCAGAGGAGGGTCCCGCATGGCGCGCAGACCTCTAGACCTCTCCTGCTGCCTACTGCTCCCCTCAGCAGTGTATTTCAGTCAGTTTGCTTGTTCTGCTCCCCACTCTGTCTCTGGTGAATTCTCTCATCCCCCGTACCTCTGGCTTACACCCCGTTTTGTATGCTTAAATAAATAAAAATCCTAAAAAAAAAGAAGAAAAATTTAACATAAGAAATACTAAAAATAGAAAAAGTACATCTAATTTTGTCACTGTTCTTGTTCTTCCTAAATTATAAAAAGGAAATATGGGGCCTCCCTGGTGGTGCAAGGGGTTAAGTCTCAGCACTATGAAGCAATCCGCAGCCACTGCAGCATGAGTTCAATCCCTGGCTAAGGAGGTGATCCACATGGCTCAGCAGACCTCTCCTGACTCGCTCACTGCTCCCCTTAGCAGTGTACTTCAGCCAATCTGCCTGTTCTGTTCCCCACTCTGTCTCTGGTGAATCCTCTTACCTCCCACACCTCTAGCCTATACCCCAGTTCTTATATGCATAAATAAATAAATCTTTAAAAAAAGAAAGAAAATCATTGCCATGAGTTTGATATTTATCCTTTTAGTTCACTGTTTATATTTTTACAGACATATCTATATACAACATGTAGCACTGCTTTCTGTGGCTTTAATTTACATAAATGGCATTTTATTATATGGCTCATTATATATTTTGGCACTCAACACTATATTTCAGTTCTATCCATGTTGATAACAATCTAGTTTTCTCTTGTAAGTGACTACATCGAATTTATCAATCTATTTTCCTATCAACATATATTGAGGTTGTTCCTGATTTTTTTTTTTTTTTGCTGCATTCAATTTGTGTCCCTGGGATACATGCCTGAGTTTCAATTCTTATTTGGTTATAGTATATACACAGGAATGGAATTGTTAGATGACTGTTGATTTTTTTTCTCTTTTTTAAAAATATTTTATTTTATATAATTCTTACATCATTTTCATTTTTGCACAATGTATGCATTTTCATTTTGGTAATATTCACCGTACAATTGCATTCCCCCTTATTTTGACCCTAGCCCTTCTTCTCCCGCCTCTCCCTGATGATTTTTAAAAAAGGCATGTACACATGTAACCACCCCAATCAAGATATAGAACATCACTATCTCCCCAGAGAATTTCATGCCACCCCTGCCCCACCCCGATCAGTTAGCTGCTTTCTATTGGTATAGGGAAGTTTTGTCTGTTCTTGAATTTCATATAAATGAAAGTATATAATACATACTCTTGTATAATTATTTTGTTCAGAATACTTTTTGATTAATCCATGTTACATTTATTAGTTGTCATGATTATACTTAGATATACTTACAAATAATTATTTATTTTGTTATTAATTTTAAATTAATATGAATTTTAATGTTGATTTTAATTAATTTTATCTATGCAAAATCCATTTAACTTTAATAATATTCTTACTTATATAATAGTTATTACATTATGATCATGTTTATATTTATTATTAAACTTGTCCCTACAAAATAAAAACTGAGTAATATTCCATTCCACCAATATACTAAATTTGTATGTTCAATTAGTAGTGAATGGACATCTAGGTTCCTTCCAGGTTTTGACTGTAACAGAATAAACCTTCTATGGACATTTATGTACAAATCATTTTGTGGACATTTTTGTTCCTCTTCAGTAAATACTGATGAGCGGAATGGCAGGGTTATTATATGCATTTAACTTTATTAAAAACTGCCGAATTGTTTTCCAAAGAGGTTGTATCATTTTTTAAAAGATTTATTTATTTATTTATTTATTTGTTTATTTATTTATGTATGTATGTATGTGAGCCAGAGGTGCGGGAGGTGAGAGGATTCACCAGAAAGAGTGGGGAGCAGAACAGGTGGATCCACTGAAATACACTGCTGAGGCAAGCAGAAGGTGAGGCAGGAGAGGCCATGTGGGCTGCTCCCAGGCCAGGGGATTGAACTCGTGCTGTAGTGGCCAGTGATAGCTTGATAGCGCTGTCTTTAACCCCTGTGCCACCACAGCGCTATCTTTAACCCTGTGCTCAACTCACAGTTGACTTGCTGGGGTACAGTGGCCTCTCCCAACTTGGCATCAGCACCTTTTCTTCCTGCCTTTTATTTTTAAAGATTTATTTATTTATGCATACAAGAACTGGGGTACAGGCCAGAGGTGTGTGTGGGGGTGGGGTGGGAAGGATTCTTGATTTGTAAGGTTTTTTTAAAAATGTGTTCTGAGTATTAATATTTTGTCATGTTGAGTTATCTTCTGGGTTTCATTTTCCTAACACTTTATTTACATTTTTGTATTTTAAAAAATATGCAAAGAATTACCATGATAATAAAAATTTTCCATATTGGGAAAGAAATTTTTAAAAACAAAAGCAATTCATTCTATTTTTAGACTGTTTTATAGAGTCAACTGGCTTAGGACTGAAAAACAGGTCAACTTTTTCCAACCAAGGTTAAGGTCCTGTCCTATAGCTCAACGCACAGTTGACTTGCTGGGGTACAGCGGCCCCTCCTAACTTGGCATCAGCACCTTTTCTTCCTGCCTTTTATTTTTAAAGATTTATTTATTTATGCTACAAAAACTGGGGTACAGGCCAGAGGGGTGTGTGTGTGGGGTGAAAGGATTCACCATAGACAGAGTGAGGAGCAGAACAGGCAGAATGACTGAAATACACTGCTGAGGGGAGCAGCAGGAGAGGCAGGAGAGGTCTGCTGTGCCATGTGGGTAGCTCCCTGGCTGGGGATCGAACTTGTGCTTCAGTAGCTTCATAGGTTGCGTCTTAACCCCTTGCACCACCAGGGAGGCCCTCTTCCTGCCTTTTGTACCTCAACATTTTTCAGTGCTTTCAATTGATTAAAAAGAAATCTCTACTTTCACTTGGAAGGCTTATCCTCTTCCTCCCCATTTTTCACGTGGCCATACACTACAACCACACTGGACAGACCTTCTGTACTTCTCTGGTCCAGCTAGGAAAGCAATAGGGGAAGTAAATAATAATTTCCACATACAGGAAACAGAATAAGTTGAAGGCTAAGGTACTCAGAACTTATCCTCCTCTTTGTTGACCCCTCTTTCATAATTTCTTTGCTCGAAACTTCTCATATTTCTGTCCTGTGAATATTGGACTGTCCCAGGGATGAGTGTGGTAGATAATCTCCAAAGATAGCCCTTACTAATTCCTTCCCTCTCTGAATCAGCATGCCACTCCACCCATATGGAGGTGTAATCTCCCTTCCCTTTGAATTGGGGTCAGCTGCTTGAATTGCTTTGACCAACAGAAGGTTGTTCCTGACCTAACCTTTAAGAAGCCTGGTAGCATTCCTTTTTTCTTGAGGAAAGTCAGCTGTCATGTTGACTTTTAAAACTCAAGCTAGAGGGCCTTCCTGGTGGCACAAGGGGTTAAGACGCAACCTATGAAGCTATCTGCAGCCAGTGTAGCACGGGTTCGATTCCCAGCCAGCCAGGAAGCAACCCACATGGCGTGGCAGATCTCTCCTGTCTCGCCCACTGCACCCCTCAGCAGTATATTTCAGTCAGTCTGCCTGTTGTGTTCCCCTCTCAGTCTCTGGTGAATCCTCTCACTGACCCGCATATTTGGCCTGTGCCCCAGTTCTTGTATGCATGATTAAATAAATCTTAAAAAAAAAATCTTTTGAAAAAATAAAACTCAAGCTAAACTCCTGGATGAGGAATAACCACATAGAGAGCAAGAAGCCACGTGGGTATGCCAAGGCACCAGAATTGAGTGACTGAGGCTTCCAGCCCAGTCTAATCACCAGCTAGATGCAGTAGGCTGATCCAGATGTTGCCAAATGGGATTATGGGAAGTCACAAATCAATGTCTTGAGCCACCAAGTCTTTGGATGGTTTTTCACTTAGCAACAGATAACTAAAATGTTCAGTCCTTGGACATTTTTTCATGCACATTCCCTGCCTAGGTGATCCTAGCCAGTTTCATCCTAAGCCAGTCTACATGCTGATGATTCCAGCATAACTTCTCTCCAAATATCTAGACTCATCTTCTGGTGTCTCCTGGGTAACTTCATTACCATTAATTTATATGGAAACGTATTTATATGGGAAATACCGTGAGCACTTCTAGACCCAAAAAATAACCCAGCAAATCATACCAAATACAGCCTACTTTTAGGTAATGGGGGAAACCTGTATCCATCTTCTTTCTCAACGTATCCACTTGGATGACAAGTAAGCATCTCAAACTAAAAAGGACTCTTAATCATTCCCTTAAGAAGACAAGTCTTTGCCACCTCAGCAAATCTATCCTCCTAAGATAACGTGGAAAACTTGGCATCATCCCTCATTCCTCTTACTTTCACATCCCACATCCAATCCTTCAGTAAATTCTGTTTGCTCTGTTTCTAAAATATATGCAACATATGACCACTCTTTCACCATCATCATTTCTCACTTGATTACTGCAATAGCTTTCAAACTGGTTTCCCTGTGCCATTCTTGCTCTCTCCCTGCTCCACCCTCAACCCAGCAGCAGCCAGGTGCTCCTTTTAAAATGTTGAAGTCAACCCTTTTGTGGCTTTCCACCTCAGAGTAAAATCAAACTTTTTTTTTACATTACATATCCAATAAGGGATTTGTATCTAGAATATATAAAGAGCTATTAACACTCAATAAAAAGAAAAATAACCTGGTGAAAATATGGGGAAAGGATCTGAATAAACATTTTTATAAAGAAGAAATGGCTGGGGCCTCCCCGGTGGAGCAGCGGTTGAGTGCTGGGTTATGAAGCTGCCCGTGGCCTCTGCGGCGCCGGTTCGATCCCCAGCTGCTCCCCGGCCACCAGAGGAGGGTCCCACATGGCGCACAGACCTCTCCTGCCGCCCGCTGCTCCCCTCAGCAGTGTACTTCGGTCCTTCTGCCTGCTCTGCTCCCCGCTCTGGCTCTGGTGAATTCTCTCACCCTCCCGCGCTTCTGACTGTACCCAGTGCTTGTATACACAAAACAAACAAATAAATAAATAACCATGCCTCTATAAAAAAAAAAAAGAACTTGTCAAAAAAAAAAAGAAGAAATGGCTGATAAGCACATGAAAAGACATTCAATATCATTAGCCATTAAGGAAATGCAAATCAAAATCTCCATGAGATACTAGTACTGATACATTACCAAATGAATGAACGCCAAAACACAATGCTAAATGCAAGAGGTCTGCTTTAAAAGACAATATATATTTTTACCACAAATGATTCCATTTATATGAAATGTCCATAGAAGGCAGCTCTGTAGAGACAGAAAGTAGACTGGCAGTTGCCTAGGGCAAGGCAGTGGAGGGGAGTAGAGCATTCTTTTTGGGGTGTTGAAAAGGTTGTAAAATTGATTGTGATAACAGTAACACATTGTGATTATACTAAAAGTCATTAGTTGTACACTTTTTCCTTCAGTACCATTAAATCTTTATTCATTATATATACATATATATATGTGTGTGTGTATGTGTGTGTGTGTGTGTGTGTATATATATATATATATAGGTATATATTTAGGGAAAAGAGAGGCTGGGAAAAGGGTTCGCATGAGTGTAACAAATTGGTAACAAATGGGAAAGGAAGTACCCAACAGACAAAATCAACCATCAAATAAACATTTCCCACCAATGGGAATTGCACACTTTAAATGGGTGAATTGCAGGATATGGGAATTATATCTCAATAAAGTTGTTACCAAAAAACCCACAAACAACCTCACGGACCTATGGGGTCCTTAACAGGACCTCAAGGACCTATAGGGTATTCTACCATGTGCGTTCACCTCCCTCAGTCCTTTCCTTTGTTCATTTTGTGCCGATCACTTTGGTTTCCTCGATGCCTGATAGACCCACGAAACACAATTGCAACTCAGGCCAGAGCTATGGCATCTAGTTGATCAGTTTGTGCATGAACAAAAAGCTCCTGGTTGAGGGAAGGAGTAAGAGAAAACTGAAATCCAGGCTTCTGCTGGTCTAGACTGGGGACCAGAGTCTGTGGCCCTCACTAGGTCATCTTTTTCTAATGGGCATGCAGGTGTGTATGTGCCAACCTGACATACTCGGGACTTCTGCACACTCTGTTCCCTCTCCTACTCTTCCCTGCATCTTCACACAACTCATTTTCTTCACCAGTGTCACTGGAGAGTCACCCCACCCACACAGTCATGGTCTAGCCCTTCGCCCTCTTTGATTTCACTTCATAGAACCTATTGCCACCTGATATATCATATGTCGATGTGTTTGGGTTACCACTGGTCTTCTCCCATTAGAATTAAAGCTCTAGGGCTTCCCCGGTGGCGCAGCGGTTGAGCGCTGGGTTGCGAAGCTGCCCGCGGCCTCTGCCGCGCCGGTTCGATCCCCGGCTGCTCCCCAGCCACCAGAGGAGGGTCCCACATGGCGCGCAGACCTCTCCTGCCGCCCGCTGCTCCCCTCAGCAGTGTACTTCGGTCCTTCTGCCTGCTCTGCTCCCTGCTCTGGCTCTGGTGAATTCTCTCACCCTCCCGTGCTTCTGACTGTACCCAGTGCATGTATAAACGAACAAACAAACAAACAAATAAATAAATAAAACATGCCTCTATTTAAAAAAAAAATAAAAAATAAATAAATAGAATTAAAGCTCTATGAGAACAGAGATTCATTTAGTTTACTGCTGTGTCCTCATGCCTAGAATAATGTCTAGCATATAGTATGTGATCAATAAATATTTCTTGAGTGTGTGAATAAATGAAGTAAATTCAAGTAACTCTCAAAGGCTGAAACATGGACCAGACTAAGCTGATTCTAGGTAAGCAGAGGTTTTATTTTTAGTGGATTGTGTTGATTTTAAAGCCAAGGAAAAGAATGCCTAACTCTGTGTGGTTGAGATTTCCACAGGATAAGGCACCACTGATTAGAATGCAGGCCCCAATGGGATGTGAGCCCAGAGCCCAGGAAGGGACCCCACCGGTCTGGCCTCTTACCTCTTCTTTAGTGTAGTACTTCAGGAGGCCTTCTTTTGCGAGAAGGATAAACCTCCTCCTCAGGAACTGAGCGTTGTCTCTTCCCCGCTTCCACAAGAACCCATCTCGGTTACCTTAGCCACCAAGGAAGAAAAATAAAGAACACCCGAGACCTTGTGAATGAGCAGCTCGTGGACTGTGGCAGGTTCCAGGGTTGAAACAAACCCTCTACCTGATGCTAAAATGTCTTGGATCTGACTTAGCTATTTATCTATCTGGGGATTTCTGTTGGGCTCCCCAACTCTCTTCCTCGGCTGTCTCATGGGAAGACATAGCAAACCCCTATTTAGGCTAAATATTGACAACCTGGACTGATTGTGAAAGAGGCCCATGTGGTCCTGTCCAGCCTCATGCTGCTATCGGGCCTAATGAAACTTCACAGAGCGCAGGAATAATGAGTGCCCTCCAGGTGCCTGCTGGTGCGAAAGATGCAGCGTGTTCCTGGTAGCTAGGCGAGATGAACGCTGGCTGCCTCTGGTCCTCAGAGACTGGTTTTATACCCTGTACTCTCTAGGTCAGTGTCAGCTTGGACTCAGAGCAGCTGGTCAGAAACTGACAGGTTCTGAGCCACAGTAAGGTTGTGCCTTACACAAAGGCAGGAAGGAAGACTGGAATTGAGCCCAGCTCCTAACCAAGCCTGTAACACACCAGTGCTGAGCCAGGAGCAGGGGTGTCCTTTTCAATGGGTCTACCCAATGGGAGAGACTTCCTGCAGTTTATACACACGTGTTCCCTGCAAGGACCCAAGACTCTATACAATTGTTCCCTGCAAGGACCTAAGACAAAAAAGCTTCTCTGGTGACTCAGACCATAGACTCTACCCACTGATATGTTACAATACATTTCAGAGGCCGGGAATCCAGGGCTCGGCCTCTGTGACCATAATGATGGCAACAAGTATCTCTTGTCTGGACTTTGCTCCTAATACTCAGGCACTTTGTTTCAGGACTCATTAGAAGACAGACCTCAAAAGATGATGAAAAGAACTTTACCTGGGGGTGGGGTGGTTTCCCCATCAGCCATAAATTCTTGTCTCTCATACTTAGCTCGAATCCATTGTTCCTTTAAGACTCTGAAAAGAGAGTAACATTCGGTCAGTTGCATCTGCTGCATTTTCTTCCCACAGTGACTTTCCAAGACCCTGCAGCTGAGGGTGGGGGCATCAAATAGCCACCTCACTGCCTGCTCAGGCTACCCAGAGTTTCTCGGGCTTGGTATTATTAGCATTTGAGGTAGGCTAATTCTGTGTTTGGGGGATGTCCTTTTCTTATAGGATGTTTAGCGGCATCTTTAGCCTCTACCCACTAGATGCCAATAGCAGTCCCACCCCGCTCATCCAGTTGTGATCTCCAAAAATGCCTTGAGACATAGCCAGTGTCTCCTGGGGGGAAATATTTCCCTTTTGGGTTATAATGAAACTACTGGCCTGTTCCCACCCTAATTTCAGTCCTCTAGGTCACATACCAGTTCCCTTAAGGTATCTACACTGCCACCTCCCATTGCATACTCCCACCCTAATTTCAGTCCTCTAGGTCACATACCAGTTCCCTTAAGGTATCTACACTGCCACCTCCCACTGCATAGTCCCACCCTAGCCTCAGTCCTCTAGGTCACATACCAGTTCCCTAAAGGTGTCTACACTGCCACCGCCCACTGCATACGCATAAATTTAAGCCAGAAGAGTCCAAGAGCCTTTTTCCCATGGTTGCCCAAAAAATCTGGGTGTGCCACAGTGGACAGAGCAGTGGACTTGGGATCTGACTTCCTGGGGTTTCCATCCCCTTTACCATTTATCCACTGTGACGGAGAGCAAGTTATTAACTCCTCTGGACTTGGGAAATATGCCAACAATATTATGCCTCCCTACCTCAGGATTGTTGAGACATATAAAGATAAATAAAGGGTCTAATCTAGTACCATGTTCAGCACATAGTAAGTGTTTAATGTTAGCCCAATCAGATACCGCCATCCATGACGACTATAGAAAACCCATGCAGGGTTTCTAATTAAGAGTAGGCTTAATTTAACAGTATGGTTTTTCTCTCCCTTTCCCGGAAATATCCTAAGATCTACATAACCTCACCACTAAGCCATAAAGAATGACCTAGAGCTGGACACCTAGCTCTGAAGGTCAATCGGAGCTCTTCCTCTGGCTGTGTGAACCAAAAGCGAGAGAGGGATGAATGAGAAGCCCTCTCTAGAATCAAACTGGGAGCTGCAGCCAGGCAACTGGAAGTGGCCTTGCTCCCAGCTGCATGGAGGAAGCCTAAGTGACAGGAAGATGCAGGAATGAGAGCCAGAGAGCGTGCGAGAGACCTGATAGTGTTTGAGCTCCTGGTCTATTTTTTTCTTTTTTAAAAAAGATTTTATTTACTCTTTTTTTAAAAAAAGATTTATTTATGCATACAAGAATTGGGGTACAGGCCAGAGGTGCTGGGGGGGGGTGAAAGGGTTCACCAGAGACAGAGTGGGGAGCATAACAGGTGGGTCTACTGGAATATACCGCTGAGGGGAGCAGCGGGCAAGACAGGAGAGGTCTGCTGTGCCATGTGGGTTAGTTAGCTCCCTGCTGGGATCAAACTCAAGCTGCAGTGACAGAGATAGCTTGATAGCGCTGAGACTTTAGCCCCTGTGTCACCAGGGAGGACCTCTCCTGGCCTATTCTTCCTGAGAGTGGCTCCACCTGTCTTTCATGTGATCTGATCTCTAAAACCTATGACATCCTCTCGTGCCTATACTAGTTTAAACTGGGTTTCTGTCACTTAAATCAGGAGTCCTACCTATTGCACAGCCATTAGCCCTACGACATTGAGAAGAGTCTGGGAGCTCTCCATGGAGGCTGAGCCATAGGATCAGAGCTGGAAGAAGGCATGGAGACTGAAAGCTCTGATCCTGGTCCTGGGGGTGAGGAAATTTGAGGAGTTTTAGAATTGAGGGGAGGAGGCCATTGGTGTTCACTAAAGGGCTGTTGTTGGAATCATGACAAGCTGTGTCTCTGTAGGTCCAGCAGAAAGTCTAGCACATTATAGGTGCTCACCAAGGGTCTGTTGCTTTCCCTTGGGAGCAAAGGGCTGAGTAGCAGAGACCAGAAGGGCCAGGCCCTGTCAAGTTGAGGCTGGTTCAGCCCTCAGCTGGTCCAGGGGCCGGACAGCATTCTGAAGCTGATACAGAGAAATAGATTAAAACTCATTCAGTCTCTACAACCACGCTGTGATGTACGTATCATCCTTTACATTTCGGAGATGAGGATGCCCTGAGTCAGAGAGGTTTGGTAACATGTCCACCTTCTCACAGCTAGGTTGTGGTAGAGTCAGGAAACAAAACTGGGTCTTCTGACAGCTGTGCTTTCCTGCCACACTTTTATCAGTAGCCCCTGGTTGTTTAAGTACTGGAAAACTGGAGGACCCGCAGGGGGTGGTTGTATAGTTTGTGCACCGTCCAAAAGTATCCTGCTGAGACTATCCGGCAATGGTAGCCAAAATGCAGTCTGCTCTCTGCAAGCTGTGCCCCCATTAGATTGTGTTTTCCCAGAGACCTTCTCCCTATTTACATAAGGCACTGTCTAGCAGCCATTGCAGTGAGGCTGAGGCCCTGGAAGCGAGGCTCAGGCAAAGGAAAGCAGTCCTGCAGAAGTTGAGATCACACTGATCCTTCACCTCCAAGGGCCTGAACCCTTCTGCGACTTCACAGCCTCCCAGATTCTCTAGCACTACGGGAGTCACCCAGGCCATGGGCTAGCCCAGTTCTGTCTCTGTAGGCCTCAAGTTTTTCATCGACATCATGGGGTTAATAGCAGTATTAATCTCATACAGTTGTTGAGAGAATTAAAGAAGTGAATGCACACAAGCATTTACACCAGTCCTGGTATACAGGTAAAATTCAATAAATATTAGTAACTACTATTATTTTTATGGTTATTATTCAGGGATCTGGGAGCCAGGCAGCTGCTTTGGAGCTATGCTGAGCTTGGGTAGAACACAGAAATAGCTGAATTACATTTGTTCTACTAGAATACCAGTCTTTCTCTTCTCAGTCAAGTTAGCCAGCCCCTTTAGACTATGAGAAGATCAAAGGCAAAGGAACAGATTGTGGAAACTTGAGTTCCTGGAGAGGAGATGCGACAACCCAAGCAATGAAGGTAGAGAGGGGCTTAGACCAGGTCCATGTGTTCTCCAAATGCTTTTCAGAGCTACCTGTCAACCAGGTCCATAGCTGGGACCACCATGGACATAGGCACCAGACATGGGGGAGGGGAGGTAGGACCAGGAAATCACCCACTCACAGGCAGTCGTTGGCCTGGGGGATATAGTAGAAAGCAGGGACTCGGGCTTCGTACTTGGCCTTCACACGGAGGTTCCCGTTGTGGGTCATAAACTGCAAGACAACAGCAACTTGGAATAATATTGGAACTTGAAAAAATGTGAAATGAAACCACTATCTACCCAGAAGGCCACTGTTCTCACAGCCCTGTGGCTGAGTCAGGGAGTTTGACATGTCCCGCAGGTTTGGTCATCCACACTGTTGGGAAATCCCAGCCCCCAGCAACGAGGTGCTACAATAACCATGCCTCAGATAGAGAGCACTTTCCAGCGCTCACATATTAGCTCATTTGATGCCCTCCATCATTTTATTATTACCATCTCTATTTTAGAGACAAAGAAACTGAGGGTCAGAGAGGTTAGGTTACTTAACTCAAGGAGACACATAATAAGGGGAGCTGGGATTTGAACCCAGGCTTGTTTAACTCCAAAGCTCATGTTTCTCCCACTCCATCCACATATGGTCAGGACCACCCCCTTCAGCAGCAGTCCCTGAAAGTCTGCAGGAGATAGATGTAGTTGGAGGATACAAGAAATGGGTGCTGGTCCCATAGAGATGTAGATGAGGATCCTCACTGGGCCTTTGGCACCCAGGTGACCCGAGGCTGATGTGCTAAGAATGTCCCTGTGAGTTAGCACTGGCAACAGCAACGGCATATCTGGCGGAAGGGCAGGGGTGTGAAGAAATACCAGGTTTCTAATTCATGTCTCTTGGGCAGAGTGAACCCTGTTCTCCCCCTCTCCAGGGACCATGGGGCTGTCAGAAAATTTAGGTGAGCTTGGATCCCAGCAGTTAAAATCCCAGCAGTGACATTTATTCACTGAATGACCCTTGGTAATACTTAATCCCCTGAACTTCAGGGATCTCACCTATAAAAGGGAGAAAATATGACAGGGCACAAATATGATAAAGCATAAAGAAATAACCTTCAGGTTTACATGCTAGTGTACTGGTCTCCTATCTTTCTCCTGCACTAGAATGTAGGTTGCACGTGAGCAGGGACTTTGGCTTGTTCACTGCTCTCTCCTAGTAACAAGCACAGAGTAGGCTTATAGTTACTATGTGTTAAGTGCATGAGTAAAGCATCTAGTCCAGTGGCCCAGCACAGTGCTTGGCACAGAGTGGGTACTCTGTGAGTCTGCTTCCCCAGCAGTTCTGGAAATCCTCAGCCAGCACAGTATAGACTTTCTGGCTGAAATGGTGTTACCCAGGCTGAACATGTTCTCTATCTCAGTAAGTCCAGAAAGCCAAGCTGTTCCCTTCCAGGCTAGGGGACATAAGACTTAGACCCTGAGTCAGGATACTTGTATGTCAGCCCAGGACTCAGTCAGTGATAGAAACAGCTGTTAATCGACTACTTAGTTTGTAGCTACATTGGGACTATATTTACTCCTTACAGCACCCCTGTGAAGGGGTAGCGGTATCCCCAAAATACAGATGTGGAAGCTGCGGGCCCACAGCTTATAAATAAGTAAGTCATGGAACTAGGATTTAACTTTAGGGCTTATGTCTAAGCCGCAACTGTAATAGACTGAGTTCTTTTCTCCACAGCTACTGTTTCTCTCTGGGCCTCAGTTTCCTCCCGGATGGATGGGAGCACCCGCCCACTGCCTCCACCCAGCTCTGCGGCTCCAAGGCTTTCCCTCCACGCGCGCCCCTCGCTACCTCCACAATACTGTCGTCCCAAAAGTCAAGTCTCACGGATTTGACTTTGCTGATGTCTGGGAAGTTGCGGTGGACGCCGGAGCAGTTCAGACAGATGAAGATGCCCAGCTTGTAAGAGGCCCAGTCGGGATCTGCAGGATGAGAGGGCAAGAAGCGAGCTGGGCCAGCAAACCCGGACGCGGCCGGGGGCGCCCGGAGGTGCTGAGCTTTTCAGTGAGGATTCCCGGGGCGGTGTCCTGCTCTGCGCACAACGCCGGCCGCTGGGAACCCCTCGGTTCTCCCACTGGGTGGATGAGGCCGCCAGCAGGGAACCTCCTCGCCAGCGCGGCGGCGGCCAGGATAGAGATCTCCGGAGTCCCGGGCGCAGGGCGCGAGGCTGAGGTGCGCGCTTCGTGGAAGTTCCCAGCCTCGCGGAGAACCGAAAGGCCAGCGCGGAGGGAGGGGCCGCCAGGCCGGGGAGTCCGGGTCGGGACCCCTCTGCCACCGCAGGGCCTGAGGACTGTGCAGCCCGGACCGCGGGAGCGCGGGGCTGGGGACGGGGCGCGGAGAGGAGGCCCTGGACCCGGGAGCGGGTCTGGGACCTTCGGTGTGCGCAGTGCCTGGGAGTGGGAAGTGGCTGGGATCCCTCTAACCCCTCCGGGGCGTCTGGAGGAGGTGAGGGTGCTCTCAGGTCCGGGGTCCAGGCTCCGGGTCCGCACATATGGAAACATTCGTGTCGGGGTGCAGAGTGCGGAGCCCAGGGCGGCTGGATTGGGGTGTGCGTAGTGCCGGGAAAAAAAAAAAAAAAGAACCGTCTGGGACCAGGGTCGGAGATTCACGGTCTGGGTGGGCGAGGGTCTCGACAGACGGCGTCGGAAGGGCCCCTCCGCGGAGCAGCGGGGCCGCACGGGTCCTGGCTGGTGGGAGAGGATCCGGCGGGCGCGGGGTCGGCTCCGGGACCCGGCTGCACGCGCCCCGCCGCCCGCTCCTCCCGCCGGCGCCCTTACCCGCCGCCCCGCAGTCGGCGCAGAGCGCGTTGCCGGTGCCCGCCGCCTGCAGCAGCTCCAGCAGCCGCTTCTTGTTGCGCTCCCGGTCGCCCATGGCCCGCCCCGAGGGCTCAGCGGAGCTCGGCCCGGCAGCCCCGCGGCCCGCGGGCGCCCATGGCCGTGCGCCCGCGCAGGCAGGTGGAGAGGAACAGAGCCGCGGCCTCCACCCGCGCCCGCCGCCCCGCCCCGCCCCGCCGCGCCGGCCCCGCGCCCCTCCCTCCCCCGGCGCTGCGGGCGGCCCGGGGGCACCGCGGGCGCCGGTCCTCGTACCCCGCGCCCGGCGAGAGGAGGGACCCAGCGCCGGCCAGAGGCCCGCGTTCAGACCCTTCTCCGCCGCTGCGGAGGTGCGTGGCCGTGACCACCTGGTCAGCCTCCCGGGACCTCAGCATCCGCCTCTGAAAGGGGAATATGGGCAGACATGGGCTTCCCGGGGCTCCTTGGGAAACTAAATAAGACCTCACTTCTGTTACAGGGCTCTACTGATGAAGATTTTACATCCACCAGAGACTTGGAGAGACATTTTAATACTACCTTAGGAAGCCCTGCTGGGTACCCAGCTCAAGTCGTCTCTTTAGCTTCTGGTCCTCCGAGGACTTTTTTTTTTTTTTTTTAAGATTTTATTTATTTTTGCTAAAAGAACCGGGGTGTAGGCCAGTGACGCGGGGATTGGATGGGTAGGGGGTGAGGGTTTGTGTGAGAGGATTCACCAGAGACAGAGTGGGGAGCAGAACAGGCAGATCCACTGTAATACACTGCTGAGGGGAGCAGCAGGAGAGGAGAGGTCTGCTGCAGCAGGAGAGGAGAGGTCTGCTGCGCCATGTGGGTCTGGTCGGCTCCCTGACTGATGGAACTCTGGTGGGTGGGTCACGGTGCTAGCACTGAGATTTAACCCATAGGCCACCAGGGAGGCCCCTCCTAGGACACTTTTATAGGATCTTTTCATCCTTTTTGGCTTTATCATGTGCTTTCTATCTACCTCGCATCACAGTTACTTATATACTTATATTAATCCCTTCCACACACACTCACACAATATATACTCATTCCCATACCCATTCTAGCTTGATGTCAGTTTTTATGTATCCCACATAGCTCCTATAAATAGCACCTCCATTTTTAGAAATCCAATAAATAGTTGCATGACTGTTCACTATGTGTGACTTGTGGACACCACTGGGTACTTTTACCTGAGAAGTTCCATCACCATGAGGTGTGGAAAGGCCTCTGCTTCTAGTCTGGGTCTTCCATTAATCCCCGTTCCCCTCCTCCATCCCTGTCCCTCAGACACCTTCTTCAGTGACAGATGAGGTCCTGATAAGGCACATACTGCACATACTTGCCGTTCCCTCTGCAGGGAAACGCTGATGTATCTATTCATGTGGCATCCTGCACACAGTTATGTCAGGGTTCCATCCTGAGGGATTGCAGCTGATATTCTAGCTGACCTGCCTGCATCCTTAATTCAGTACACATGCAAGCTCATGGAGTAGCCTGGTATAATGGAACAAATACAGGCTTTGAATCTTGGCTCCATTGCTTACTAGATGTGTGGCCTTGCGCAAGTTCCTTTACTTCTCTGTGTCTTGGGATCCTCATCTGTAAAATGAGGATTTCAAGATTCATCTGATAGCGTCGCAGAGATGTGCCAGCACATGGCATGCAAAACCCTCAAAACAGGGTGGCTGCCTTGCTTCCCCTGGCCCTCTGGTCTGCTGGTGAGATCATCATTTGGAATGCTGCTTCATTTCCCATTCCCCACCCCACCCCCAGAGTAGAATAGGTCAAAGCTCTAGGCCCTGAGGGGAGGGAACATTCCAAGAATAACCAGCTATGAGGGGTCTTCACTGTGGAGGGTAAGATCTAACCCAGGAGCAACTCTAGAGGAATCAGTGAGAGAGTCCAGCAGGGGTCAAAGGGCATGGAAATGTTTACCAAACAGGCTGAAGGATGATGATTCATTTCCTCTGCTTTAGTTGAAAAAAGGGACAGAAATAAATCTCCCAGGAGAAAAATAAGAATGAAGGCAAGGTAGGAAGGCAAGAGGACAGGGAAGTTGAGGGGGAAAGCGGGGAGAAGTCAAGGGCATCATTTCGCCACTGTCCAGTGCCAGAGCAAAACTGTGATGTTGGTGGAGTTGGAGGGGCCCAGGGGATGGTTCTTGGTTTCCCTCTGGCACCTTGAGTCTCCCCATTCCCTCCCTGAAGTTTCCTCAACAGCCAAACCAAGGGGAAATGTAGCATCTCCTTCATGGAGAGGAGCTAGAGATTGAGAAATTCTTTTAGTTTCCACTCTTCCTGTCCTTATTTCTGGAATTTTCCATTTAACAGAAATCCAACCTTAAGGTAGAATTTTTATTTTGAAGTGGGGGAGATGGTAGAGGGAGAGAAGGATAATGCGAATTAACAATCAGAGTTTCATGTCATTTGGTCACATTTGAATCCACTTGAGCCCTCCAAGGGCCCCATCTTAATCTCCGAGGTGCTAAATTACCTGACATGGAGTCAAAGGTATGAAACTTATTATGCCTAAGTCTGATGATGTCACAAAACATCCGCAGGCCGGCTCTCCCTTTAGTCCTCCCATTCCTGTATCTTTTCTTCATTTAAAGAAATTGTAGTAAACTCTCTATTATATAAAACTGGCCATTGTAACCATTTTTAAATGTACAGCTCAGTGGCATTAATCACAAGCACAAAGTTGTGCGACCACTATATCCAAAACATTTTTGTCACCATTAAAAGAAACTCCACAGCCTACTCATGGGGATCCAATCCCATCAAAGTTGAGCTAGCTCTGTGTTCGGGAAGCAGAGGCTGCTCTTAAGGGAAGGGCACCATGCCAAAGGCTGTTGTGGCCAGGGTGGACGCCGAGCACTGGTTTGAGGGACAGGGTGAGTTGAGGCAGCCTCCTTCATGGACTCAGTGCATCCAGCAGCTGCTGGGGTGACAGGGCAGTCTGGGCCCTGGGACAGAATGTCCTTGTAAATAAAGTCCCCAGGGTCCCTTAGATCACAAACATCCAGGCCGGCTCTGAAGATTATCTCTGAAGATTGTCTCTGTCAAAGCAAGCTCAGCTGCAGCAGGGCGGGAAGAAAGTCCTTAACCAGCCCCAGACCTGGATTGGGCTCAGGATTCCCAGGGGCTAGACTACCACCCTTTTAAAAATTTAAAGAATTATGTTCTTTAGCTTCAGAATTTAAAAAACAAATATTAGAGGAAATGTGGAAAGTACAAAAAAGAAGAAATAAACCACCATTCACTGTTGCAGCCACTGTTTATCCAAGGATTGCTGTGTTTGGTCCTTTGCGTGCATTATTCCATTTCATCTTCACCATAGCCATAGCTCTGCATATTTTATGTCCATTTTACAGATGAAGCACCTGAGTGAGAATATCAGTAAATGTGTCCAAGGTTATACGACAGAGATGATGCACACCGAATGATGCACACAGTACTGGAAGTGGGAGTCAAATCCAAGTTATCTTGGGTATGTGTCATCAGTATGTTAGGTTAAACCATTTGAAGCTGAAGTACAGAGATTGTAATGTCATGCAGTTCAACCTAACACTATGTTTTAAAATTATCTCCCCACTAGTCTTCACTAACATTTTCATGAATATCCTTCTGGTCTTTTTTTTTTTTTTTGAAAAAAGATTTATTTATTTATGTATATAAGAATTAGGGTATAGGCCAGAGCTGTTGGGGGTGAGAGGATTTACCAGAGACCGAGTAGGGAACAGAACAAGCAGACTGACTGAAACACACTACTGAGGGGAGCAGTGGGCAAGACAGGAGAGGTCTGCTGCACCAAGGGGTAGCTCCCTGGCCAGAGATCAAACTTGTGCTGCAGTGGCTGCGGATAGCTTCATAGGTTGTGTCTTAACCCCTTGTGTCACCAGGGAGGCCCCCTTCTGTTTTTTTATGCATGTTTTAATATGAGTGGGATCATATTTTTCATATAATTTTGTATCCTTTTGAAAAACATTCTTTACATTATAAGTTGCTTATCTAGGTACTTCACATTATCATTTTAATTGCTGTAATATTATATGGTAATATGCATATTTCCTTATTGTTGGATACATAGATTGTGACCTATTTTTTGCTGTTAAACATAATGCTGTACTGAGTATCTTTATGCCCAAAGCTTTCCCCCTCGTTAGTACTGTATTTTTCAGGCAGCACATTCTACTCTAATTGCTCACTGATTACTGGTCTCCCTTCCTCATCTAAGCTTCATCAGAACAGGGTCATGCTAGTCATGTCTGCAGCTGTATCCCTTGCACCCAACTGCCATATGCAGGGGGTCGGGGATTCAATAGATATTTACTAAACAAATGAAGAAATGAATTTCGTTAAAAATGAACATGCTATGAACATTGAACCAACACTGGTTCTATCCCCGGCCACCAGCGAGGGTCCCACATGGCATGCAGACCTCTCCTGCTGTGCCCGCTGCTCCTCTCAGCAGTGTATTTCGTCACTCTGCCTGTTCTGTTCCCCGCTCTGGCTCTGATGAATTCTCTCACCCTCCCATGCTTCTGGCTGTACCCAGTGCTTGTATAAGTAAACAAATAAATCTTAAAAAGAAAAAAATAATACAGAGTAAAATGAGAGGACTTGGGATCACAAAAGCATTTTCCTTTTTTAAGGAAAAAATAACAGTCAGGCATGGAAAATGGAAAATCAAGCAACCAGAGGCTCCCTGGTGGCCCCAGAGGGTTAAAGTCAGTGATATCAAGCTAGCTGCAGCCACTGTGGGCATGAATTCGATCCCCAGCCAGGAAAGTAACCCACATGGTACAGCAGACCTCTCCTGTCTCACTCACTGCTCCCCTCAACAGTGTATTTCAGTATATCCACCCGTTCTGCTCCCCACTCTGTCTCTGTTGAATCCTCTCACCCCACACATTTGGCCTACACCCCAGTTCTTGTATGCATAAAATCTTTAAAAAAAAAAAAAAGGAAAGAAAATCAAGAACCTCAGAGAAAAACCTGACCAAGTTTACCTATTTACCTGTCTATTGAGTATCACTTTCTTCAACAGGAAGCAGCTCGGAGCCCAGAGGACCTCTCCACTATGATGCTGCCAAAGTTTTTCACTCATTCATTCACTGAATATTTGTGGGGTCCCTATTATGTGGCAGTCAGCTATGTGGGATAGGGACACAGCCATAAATAAAGCAAAAGGTCTTGCCTCTGCAGAAATTACTACCTTAATATGGAGAAGAGAGAAAAATGAATCAAGAAATAAACCTATATCCATATGGTACCAGAGTGATAAGTGCTATAGATGAATATATGTAGAGTATGGTGATAGAGGGGTGGAAGGTGCCATTCTGATTGGAAGGTTAACAATGCCATCTCTGAGGTGGTGACATTTAAGCAAAGATCTGAAGGAAGGACTGAAGCCAAGCAAAATCCTATCTGAAAGAAGAGTGTGGCAGGAAAAGGGAAAGTGAGTTCAAAGGTCCTAGGATGGTAACAGGCTTGGGGGTGTGTTTGACTTGGCCTCAGAGCCAGAGATGTCCAACTCCTTGTCCTTGTGCCTTGTTCTTGCTGATCACTCTCCTCTTGCAGCTCCCTCCTCCTCTCAAGCCTCTGTGCCCAACCCCCATCGGTCTAGCCAACTCCTGCCTCTACAATCAAATTCAAACCTCACTTCTTATAGCTTGCCCTTACCTCCCTCATCTATGTTCCCACAATGTTCATATTTCTATAACAATAAACATCACTTTGTACTATGTATTTTTCCAAGTCTAGTTCATCTAAAAAATAAATAAAATCTGTTTCATCTCAGTCATCAGGGATCTCATTAAGAGCAGGTTGTCATGTTCCTCTTGGTGCCTGGCAAGTACTGAGCCCTCGCAATGTTGGTTGATCCATTTCTGTGAAATGTCCAGGATGGACAAATCCATACAGAGAGGAAGCATATTAGTCGCAGGGGCTGGGGCAGGGGCGCTGGAGAGTGACTGCTAATGGGATGGGTGTGAGCTTTCCTTTTGGGATGTTGAAAATGTTCTGGAGCTACATAGCGGTGCTGTTTGCATAGCCTTATGGACTTTACACTGTAAAATGTTTAAAATGGTGAATTTTGTGTTATAGGATTTTTTTGCCACGGTGGAAGAAAAAAAAGATGTTGGTTGAATGGAGTGAAGTTGAGAGCCCCAGGGCACAGGCCGTCTGGCTTAGGGGAGTCTGAATAAATACAATGACCCAACAGCAATGAAAGAGCTGAAAAAGCCAGCTGTGAAATCTAAAGCAGCAGAAAATAAGTCCTGAATAAGCACAAGATGCTGCTGAGTGCTTACATTTTACATCTTTACCTGATAGATTGAGAAGTCAATCACAGTAGTTAGTCACAGCCACAGTGGAAGGGATTAGAGTGACATCTGTTGGAAATTTGCTTTGAACATTGGGGGTGCTCCCTTTGGATCTAGAATTTTAAAATTGTGTTCAAAAACTTGTAACTTACATTTCCTTTAGTTAATCCTCTATTGTCACTTAAACAGTTATAAAGCATCCAGGTAGTTTCTTCTGGGAGTCACTTCCTAGACAATAACACCTTATCTTACTCTGTGTAATTAATTGTCCAATTAGTAATATCTCTCAGTGCGTAACATTTTCTACTTGTGATTTATATTATTTCATTTCCACAACAAATAAAGAACATTACTTTGTAGAAGTTGTACTTTGAGTCTTATTTTGCAAAAGAGAAAGCTGTTCTTACAGGAGTGAATGGAGATACCTATGTAAGATATAGCAGTGTCGGGACATGGGCCTGAGTGCTCTGATTCTGGGTCTCAAATTATTTTGATCATTTGTTTAGTAATTTTAATTGTGTGTAATATTGAAAAAGTAATAAAATGTAACATAAAAGCAGAAAAATATCCAAACCTTCTCCAAGACAAAGATAAATAGGGCCTATTATCTTTCCTTCATAAAACAGCACTTGCCGGGCCTCCCTGGTGGCGCAAGGGGTTAAGATGCAACCTATGAAGCTGTCCGCAGCCACTGCAGCACAAGTTTGATCCCTGGGCAAGGAGCTACTCACATGGCACAGCAGACCTCTCCCAACTCACCCACTGCTCCCCTCAGCAGTGTATATCGGTCCATCTGCCTGTTCTGTTCCCCACTCTATCTCTGGTGAATCCTCTCACTCCCTGCACCTCTGGCCTGTACCCCAGTTCTTATATGCATAAATAAATGAATTTAAAAAAAAAAAGCACTTGCTGGGGTAGACCCCCTGTCCCCTCTGCTCCCAAATGCTCTGTCCAAGAATCAGCAGCCCTTTGTGGGAATCCTGGCTACCTCTAAGGAGGCAAATAAATTTGAGGACAAAATAGGTTATGCCTCTAAATAAACATACACCTCATATGATGCATAGGATTGATTTGATTTTTTTTTGTGTGTGTGTGTGACAATATTTTCTTTTTTTTTATATTTCCCATATAATTACACCCCCCTTATTTTGACCCCAACCCCTCCTTTCCCCGCCACTCCCCCATAGTGTGTCTCTGGCTTATAGTTGTTTGTTGATTTTGTTTTTTTTTCTTTCTTATAGTTATTCTTTTTCATGGTCCCTTATTTAGGTTTTCTAGATTCCTGCTAAAAAAATATGGAATGCTTCACGAATTTGTGTGTCATCCTTGCACAGGGGCCATGCTAATCTTCTCTGTATCATCCCAAATTTTAGTATATGTGCTGCCGAAGCGAGCACCATAGGATTGATTTGAAGAAGTAAACTTTAAAGTAAATTTCATTGAAAGTATAACAAACATACAGATAAGTGCACAATAATAAACATAAGTTTGATGAAATTTTTCAAAGCATACACACATTTAACTGGCACTCAGATCTCAAAAATAAATACATAAATGAAAAGGGCATAACCAACATTCCAAGACTCCCATTTCCCTGAAGGTAACCCAATTTTTATCACCAGAGATTATGTGATCTGTTTTTGTACTTTATATAAGTGTGTGACTTCTTTCAATCAACATTATATATTTGTTTAAAGATTTATTTATCTATACATATGAGAACTGGGGTACAGGCCAGAGGTGTGGGGAGTGAGAGGATTCACCAGAGACAGAGCGGGGAACAGAACAGGCAGATGGACCGAAATACACTGCTGAGGGGAGCAGCGGGTGAGTCAGGAGAGGTCTGCTGTGCCATGTGGGCAGCTCCTGGGCTGGGGATCGAACTTGTGCTGCAGTGGCTGCGGATAGTTTCATAGGTTGTGTCTTAACCCCTTGTGCCACCAAGGAGGCCCCCAACAATACATTTTTGAGATTCATTCATGGTGCTGGATATAGTTGAAGTTTATTCAATATATTCATAATCTTTTGACATTTAAGCTCTTCCAGATGTTGGCTAATACAAATAGCGCTGCTATGAACATTCTTGCATTAGGTTTAGCCCTGTGAAATTGCCATTTTTGTAACACTACAACTGTCAAATTTGGCATTTTCATACATGTAGTTCAACCTATTACTTGTCTTTAGTAGACAGATGTTTGCCTTCTGTTAAATGCAGACCCAGGGATGGCATTGCTGGATCATCAGGTATACACATGCTCTGCTTTGGAAGAATGTTGCTGAACAACTTTCCAAAGTGCTTCTACCACCTACACTTCCAACAGCATGTGTGAGCATTCCAGCTGTTCTACATCCTTGCCAACACTGCAATCCACTGATCTACCAGTATTTATGTTACTCACTTGAGCTATTCTCATGGGTGTGCTGTAGTATCACTATGTGTTTTTATTTTGCATCTTCCTGATGACTAATGCAGGTGAAACACCTTTTTATCTTCTAATTTGAAGAACCTCTTTAGGGGAAATACCTCTCTAAGTCTTCTGTCCATTTTTTCAGTTGCTTTGCCTAGTTTTTTCTTATTAATTTGCAGGAATTTTTCACATATTCTGGATAGGAGATCTTTGTTAGTTAGACATACGGCAAATATCTTTTTTTCACTCTGTAGAATGACTTTTTAGCTATGTAATAAATATTAGACAAAAGTATTAGCAATCAGCACAAAAATAGTTTACACAATCTGGTATGCTCAAAGGAATTTCAGTTCTGTGTTTCTCTAGATGCTTCAATCTCTGCATAAAAGGTTCTCTTCAGGTAGCTGCAACAATACTCTGAAGGCATTATTGTTAGCCTTATAGTTAGCATAAGGCAAGCAAAGTCCTTCAATATCAATCTTGGGTTTTATTCTAACCCTAAGTAATAGTCTATTTTTTTTTAAGTTTATTTACAAGGGAAATGAAAAGAGGGGAGTGGTGGGGGAGAGAAGGGGGAAACCTAAGTAATATTATAAAAGGTAGAGAATACAGAGTTTACATGTCCATGCCCTATTTCTAAGGTAGGGGATTATCCCCAAAAATATTAAGGCAATTCACATATATCGAATGATGAATTCAATTCTACCAATTTCAATGATGATAGCCTGTTTCTAATATCTGATACATATGTGGTCATTCATATATTTTATTTTTCTTTAAGATTTATTTTATTTATTTATGCATACAAGAACTGGGGTGTAGGCCAGAGGTGCGGGGTGTGAAAGGATCCACCAGAGACAGAGTGGGGTGCAGAACAGGCAGACTGATAGAAATACACTGCTGAAGGGAGCAGTAGGTGATACAGGAGAGATCTGCTGTGTCACATGGATTTACTCCCTGGCCAGGGATTTAGCTCATGCTGCAGTGACTGGCAGCTGGTGACAGCTTGATAGCTACAAGACTTTTACCCTGTGCCACCATGGAAGCCCTATTCATATATTTTCTTAAACACACATGTATGAATGGGGCCTCCCTGGTGGAGCAAGGTGTTAAGTCTAGGCACTACGAAGGTCTCCGCACTATGAAGCTATCCTATCCACAGCCTCTGCAGCACAAGTTTGAACCCCGGCCCATCAGGGAGCTACCCACATGGCGCAGCAGACCTCTCCTGTCTCGCCCACCGCTCCCCTCAGCAGTGGATTTCAGTAGATATGCCTGTTCTGCTCCCCACTGTCTCTGATGAATCCTCTCACTGCCTGCCCCCCGCACCTCTGGCTTACACCCCAGCTCTTGTATGGATAAATAAATAAAATAAACCTTAAAAAAAAAAAAAAGGAAAGAAACACTTAAGGAATTCCTATATGAGCCAGGCAACGTGCTAAGTATTACAGGGGATATAATTATGATCTGATACCCTCCCGTACTCTAGAGGCATCTAAAGGAGCCAGGACAGGCGGAGTCACTTGCCTTCAGTCACACTGTTTGTATGCTGAAGTTGGAGAAATTGGTAAAATACAACATTGACTAGTTTCAGAGTTTGAGCATAGCCATTGAGATCCTCTCTCTCCAGAAGAGAGACACTAGGAATGGGTTTTTACATATTCTAATTGGTGTCTTTCATATCACTTTGGGTAAATGTATTGAATGAAATAAAGAGACAAAGATGTGTCAAAAGTGAGACAAAACAAAGTATGTCCTATTGTTCAGGATGGTGAGTTTGAAGGAGAAATGAGCTGAGTTTTTGAGAAAAGAGAAAGGATGCTGTGACTTGGGAGACAGGTAAGCTTCCCATGCAGGGGGCTCCCCAATGGACCCTTAAAATGTTGTCAGAATTCAGACCACTTGGGGGAAAGAGCAGACCAGAGGGACAGACCCCGGAGGATCAGAGCTGCAGAGATGAGACAGTGTGGAACATGTTCAGAGAATTTCAAGT